AGGCCGAGACAGCAGCTGGTGCAAAGGCGGGCTGGCAGACTGGGTGCAGCTGAAAACCAGAGGTGAGGCCGGAGAGGAGCACTGCAGTGTGGCTGAAAGCCCCTCGGGACTCGGGCTGGGGTGGCATTGGGGCCGCCATGCAGTGACAGCCTCTTCTGCCCCAGTCCAGCAGCTGGTGAGCAACGGCAAGACCTTCTTCCGTGTGGAGGAGGCGCTGAGCTGGCACGAGGCGCTGCAGCACTGCCGGCAGCAGCACGCAGACCTGGCCGACCTGCAGAGCATGAACAGCCTGCAGTCCATCGCCAGGCTCTACTCCCTCACCAGCGGCACCGGGGCCTGGATCGGCCTCTTCTTCGACGTGCACACTTCTGCCCTCAGATGGTCCAGCGGCTCCGCCTTCACCGACCCCGTGTGGACCACTCTGCCCTCTTTCAGGGATGGCCTCTGCGCCACCCTGTATTCGGTGTTTCTGGCCCCTGCCCTGGGGGCTGCCTCCTGCACAGACAGGAAGCCCTTCATCTGCTATAATGGTATGTGCAGATTCATCCTCTGGACCTGGCCTCCCCGCCCCTGCAACCCGGGTTGTTTTCAAGAGCAAACAAGGGGCCAGCAAGTGGTGTGGTGGTAGAGGCACTAGACTCCCATATGGTCGACTGTGGTTCAAATCCTGGACCCGGTGGCTTGCTTTCTATTTCTCTGTGTGCCCTATAGCAAAAATTTTCAAAATAATAAAAAATAAAATTAAATAACTTTTTTTTTTAATGGAGCAAATGAAAGAGAGAGCGGGAGAGAATGTGCCCAGAGTTTACTGGCCATTGTCTCCCTCTCTCCACACCGCTTTCTCTCTGCGGCCTTAGTTTACATTCTCCCTGCTCCCCATTCCCAAGGCCTCATGGAGAAACAGGCGGATGTCAGGATAGAGACACGGTAAAATCTGGAATGTCCCCCTTTCTGCCATTAAGGACTTTAGGGGAGAAACAGAAAGGGAGCAGAAGGGGAAGGCAGGCCGGGAGCGTCTGCTCCTGTTCCGAGTCCAGCCTCGGCCCTCCCACAAAGCGCAGCAGGGGGCACCGTGGCGGGTGGGCGAGTGCAACAGCCACGCTCTGGGAGAGCCCCTGCTGCCTGGGAAGTGGCTGCGGGAGCCAAGTCCTTTGGCTGTGGCCACACATCGTGCTCAGCGCCTGGCTGTGGGGACAACCTGAGTCACATGGTGTGGGGGTGGAGGGGTGGTGGTTGAAGCCGATAACACTTTCCTGGCAATAAGTGTGTTTTTGTCTTTCTGTCAGCCAAGGCTCAACCCAACTCTGCATCTTGCTCACCCCTCAGACAGGGTCACGGAGGGCCATGGCATGGCCACACTGTGCCTGTCACAGGGACCGGAATCATGGTCAGTCATGGTCGGGGTGGCCTAGGTTTGAACTCTTGATTTTCATGAGAGTAAAGAGATTTCCAGGGTAGCGGGGGTGCCTGAGGCTGGGAGTCCTTTAGAAGAAGGGCTTGGGGCTCCCCCTGACCCCTTCATTGAGATGGGAGGCTGCAGGACACGGCATAACCCTCCCCCTCTTCTTTCCAGTTGCAGGGTGGATCCAGGTTACCACCACTGTCCTTCCTCTGGGTCTGCCCTCTCCTTTACAGTCTGTTCTCTACACAGAGGGAGATTTTTTTTTTTTAGACACCCCCTTCCGCCTTTGGCCATAATGCATGTGCTCACAGGAGAGAGAGAGGGAAAGTGAGAAATAACCCCCTGAGGGGGTTGACCTTGCCACAATCCCTTCTCCTTCGTTCTCCTCTTGGAATTCTGGGCATGCACACACAAGCACCCGGAATGGTTTTCTAGCTGGTAGGCCCAGGACTCAAACCGCAGAGTCAGTCATGTGGGATCCAGTGCCTTAACCACCAAGCTACCTGCTGGCCCCCCAGTGTAAGCTTTGAAAAATGTAAATCAGATCACTTAAGGCGATTCACTTGTCCTCATGGCACTTAGAATACCATCCTTTGGGGTCTACTTCATGGCACAACATTTAAGTGCTGTGCAGAGGAAGCCTGATTCCACACAGCTGACCAAGGTTCAAGTGCTGGTCCTGGAGTCGTGAAAAACACACTGGGAGCACGATGGAGAATTAAAAGAAAAGGACTGTGGCATGACTAGCTGTGTTTGGGGAGTGCTCGCTCTCTCTCCCTCTCTCTCCCTCTCTCTCACGTCCTCTGGAACCAAAAAAGGAGAAGATACATTGTAGCTGATCTCTCTGGTGTCACCTGTCCCTCTCCCCAGTCACAGAGATTTCTTTCAGCTCCTTGCCACCACAGGACCTTTGGCCTGGCTCTGCGGGCTTAGGCTGGCTCTTTGGCATATTCTCTTCAAGGGCAAAGGCTCTACTTGCCTTATCAGCATCGGGCACACAGAGGTGCTCAATACACGTTTACTGAATACAGGTACGAAGGCACTGACGAGCCTGTTTGCCCTCGACTGGCCTCTCCCAGCTTCAACCTGGCAGCTCCGGTGACTGCAGAGGCTCCTGGGAAGTCCCCGCCCAGCCTGCCCCATGACCTGTGGTCTGTTCTGTTGTACAGATCCTGACGCCAGCCACCGCATCACCACGGAGCCCTCTCTTGACCTGACCACCATTCCAAAGCTAGGTACATCCCCATTTTGCTTTCCACTTTCTGGGATTTGGGGTTCGTTTTGCTCAAGTTCATCTATCTGAACCAGCCGCAGGACTGGTCCCCTAGGGTTCCCTTGGGCCCAGAGGAGAAGCAACCCCAGCTGTGCCAGCTCTTCCTCTGGGGATGGGGTAGGCAAGACCTCATCCCAGCCTAGCTAAAGAGGGAGATTTCTCTTTGTAGTTTCCCCTCTGGATATCACTGCCCTTGGTATTGAAAAAAAAAAAAAAAAAAAAAAAACTTCTTATCTGATGTAGAGCAATTCTATGACAAAGGAAATACCAGGGGTTTTCCAGAAGTTCATGGGAAATGTGTATATGAAAAACTATACATGGATTTCAATTTTTTTCACCAAAATAGACTCATACTTCAATTGCATTTTTTCCACAAACTATTTGAAGTCCCTCCTGTACTCAAGCAGCCTGCTCTGTAGAGCTGGTTTTCTGCGCACAGTGGAACATGGAGTTGGAGTGTTGAAAGGGTGTGGGTGGCCAAAGCAGGCAGACCTGGGTGGAATCTCCTCTTGCTACTTAATATGAGGGGACATCAAAAAGTTTGTGGGGGGACTAGCGAATGGCATAATTGTTGCATCATTGGACTCCCACATAGTCAACCACAGTTCGAGTCCCAGACCTGGAGGCTTAGAACTCATGTTGTGTGCATGTGTGCCCAGATCCTAATAGAAGAATGGAGAAGGGATTGCAGCATGGCCATCACCCGGGGGGGGGTGATTTCTCACTTTCTGTCTCTTTGTCTATCTGGTGAGGGCACACACCCTATAGCAAAAATCTCTTAAAAGAAAAAGGTTTTGGGAAAAAGAGAAAAAAAAAAACCAAACAAACAGAATTAAAGTATTTTAATTCTGGTGCTAATTTTGGTGCCCAAAATATGATATCTGCCCATGGTTTTTCATAATACACATTTTCTGCAAGTTTGTTGAAGACTGCTTGTATAATGTAGTTTGGCAAATTGTCACCTCTGTGAGCTTCCTTTTCCTCCTCTGTGAAGTAAGGTTAATAATATCTACTTCTCAGGATTATAGTGAGGATTGAAAGAGCTGATGTGGGCTTGCACAGCTCAGGGCTGGTGCACGCGCGGTGCTTAATGAAGGGTAACAGAAGATCAGATTTGATAAGGAAAATGTTAGGGAAATATCAGGCAAATCATGAGGGGCATAGGTGACAGGCATGTGTCAGAAGGGGGGAGGCTCCATTTGAATTGGAGGATGTGCCTCCGATTGCAAACAGGTCTCCGGAGGTGATAGCTATAAACTTCCGTTGTTTGGAATCACAGACGTGTGGGCTTCAAATGCTGCAGACGAGACAGGCCTGGCAAGGGGAAGGGTGGGTGCACTTGTCCTGCCCGTGGGGACCTGGCCCATTCCCAACTGTGGGAGGCAGATCAGCACCTAGATCTGTCTAGGCTCTACCCGAAGGCAGGGCCATTGGGATAGGACTGCTCTGCCTTGCGTCCCCAGGTCTGTCCCTTGCCAGGCTCACCTCTTCTCCCAGGCTGTCCTAGGACAGCACATGCTTCTATTCCACCTCCACCCTGGAGCCTCCTAAGCTACGGTGGCAGCAACAGCTCCTGCAAGTCACAGATGAGGGTGACTCCAAACCAGGACTGTCCTATTTCCTCATAGCCGCCCTCTAAACCGTCTGTGCTTCTATCCGCGTCAATGAAGATAAACCATTCCCGGATGTGGTTTCATGTAGTCCCAGCCTTAGGCACTTCCACTGTCCCCGTTACACAGATGAGCAAATTGGGACTTAGCTGGCAAGGCCATCTAGGGGCAAGAACTCGGTCGGAACCTCTGCTCTCCCCAGCTGCTGCCAGATCTCTGTTCTCCCAACCTGGTTTGTAGTCTGCCTCAGAAAATTGTGGTTTTGATGCAATTTAACACCGAGGGCTAGGGAGAAGGGCCAGGGTCAGATGAGTTTTCTGCCAGGGGCGGAGGGTCAGGCCGTCAGAGATCCCAGACCTGAGGCCTGTGGTCTCTGTGTTCTTTGCTCCCAGCTGCGGTCCAGATCGGCAGACAGATCTTCACACGATTTAACCAAGTGAAGACGTGGACCTCCGCCCTGCTGTACTGCCGCAGCCGCCACACGGACCTGGCGGACCTGCAGACTGTGGCCGACGAGGCAGGCAAGGAGGCGCTGAGAACCATCACCGACGAGACGGAGGCCTGGATCGGCCTCTACTTCAATGCAGTCTCCAAGTCTCTGAGCTGGTCCAGCACCCTGGGAGCCAGCATCCCCACCTGGCTGCAGGTGCCCAAGTTTGGGACAGGACTCTGTGGAGGACTCCGCACCTACGTGCGCTTCTCCCCGCGGGTGTACTCAGTGAACTGCTCGTCTCTGCAGCCCTTCATCTGCTTCTATGGTGCGTGAGAATCCCTCCTGCGGCCCTTGGCCTGGGAGGTGAGGACGAGCAGGGAAGGGCTTATTTGGCTGCAGGAGACATTGAGGATAGCTCAGGGCTTGGGGTAACTGAATTCTGGAGAGGTTCCTGAGACTCTCGTGACACAAGTCTTATATTTTCATTCTGGGGATCGTTACTTATTTATTTTGAAAGGTTTTTGCCATAGGGCACATGTGCTCACCGAAGACAGAGACAAGGAGAGGGAAGGTGAGAAATTGCCCGTAGGGGGGATGGCCATGCTGTAATCCCTTCTCTCCGGGTTGTGGGCATGCATGCACATGTGCCCAGTGTGATTTTCAAGACACCAAGTCCGGGACTCTAACTGTGGTCGAACATCTGGGAGTCTAGCACCTTCACCAAGCCACCTGCCGGCCCCTCTGGGGATCTTTAAAGAATGGAATGAAGCCCATTCGGCCTTGGGGCACTACTGATTAGCAATAGCAATTAGTTGTGTTTTGGAATCAGATAGACGTTACCACTAGTAGAAATATGAGGGGCAACATTTCTGAGTCTTCCTTTTGTCTGGAATATATATTTAAGACAGTGGGACTGATGACACCCATCATGGAGCGGCTTCGAAGGCTGAGTGAGGGAACGAAAGGACCTGTGAGCGCCCAGTAGATAGCAGCTATTGTCACCGTTAGGTCACTGTGAATGCATGGAACCAGAGGCACACCTGGGTCCTCGCATCCTGTGTATATGTCTCCTTGGCAACAGGCTTCCTCTGCTGCCTTCCTGTTTCAGCTGCCGATTCCCACGCCGTTACAGATTCCAAGTGTGTTGCTTTCCTTCCCTTTTTCTTCCTTTCTTTTCCCCCTCTCTTCTTCTCTTCCTGCCTTCTTTTGTCTCTTCCTCTCTTCCCTCTCCCTTCCTACCTCCCTCCCTCTTTCATTTATTTTATTTTATTTTTTTAGAGAGATTTTTTGCTACAGGGCACCTGTACTCGCTGGAGAGACAGAGAGTGAGTGAGAAATCACCCCCAGGGGGGATGGCCACACCACAATACCTTCTCTGTTCTTCTCTCAGGATTTTGGACATACACACACATGTGCCTGGAATGAATTTTAAGCCACCGGGCCTGGGGCTTGAACTATGGTTGGCCATGTAGTAGTCCAGAGCCTTAACAACCACGCCACTCACTGGCCGTGCCTCTCCCATTTTTGTAACAGCTTTATGGAGATATAATTCATGTGCCTGAGACTCCACCTTCTTAAAGTGTTCAAGTCAGTGGTCTTTAGGATGTTCACAAGGTGGTGCAACCATCGGCACTGATTCTAGGATGTTTTCATCACCTCAAAGAAACTCCTTCCCCGCACGAGGCACTCTCCCCTGGCAACCGCTAACCTACTCCGTCTCTGTGGACTAGCCTATTCTTGGCTGTTTCTTTGTGTTTTGGATTTGATGGGAATCATGAGCCTTCTCTGTAAATAGCTCTTGCTGCATTGAAGAGCTGTTGTGGAGATTAAGGGGGAAGAAGCTACTGCTTCCCGTCACAGCTCACCCCCTCCTCGGTCTGGTCCCTGTGATGTGAGGCTGGTCCCTCTGTGCCTGCTAGGACAACTCATAGGCCGACAGCCCCTGCCTCACACTTGCTCTCTCTACTGTCTTGCAGACCCTTCCATTGGACACCGGAAATACGCAGAGCTGCCTCCACTCTCTGACACTTCCTCCTCCTCGGAAGTTACCATGGGGACGACTCCCAGGCCAGGTAGAAATGTGTTGAGCCTGTTCTTGGCCGAATCCAGGGTCAGGGCCTAGGAAGTGGAGAGGGTAATCTGCATGCAGAGGCCTAGACAGGCCCCATGGGGCCCTCCTAGAGGGGCCAGTGACTGGCCAGGAGAGGGGTGAGCGAGCCATGTGGCAACCAAGGGCCAGGTTTCCCTGCTTCCCATCTGCCCGGCCAGCTGGCAGTGGAGGAGGATGTGGTTGCATCGACCTCCCTTCTCAAATTGGGCCCCTGTTCTTGCAGCACCAAGGCCAGGAGCCAAGGAGAGGCTGTGAGTTCTCTCAGGCGAGGTGATGGGGGCCCAGCCTGGGAGACAGGGGAAGACGCTGAGCTCTGAGGACAATCCTCAGGACGGCTGGGAGGGTCAGCAGAGAGGGACACCCAACAGCAGTGCCTCCCCAGTTCCTCCTGGCCGTGGGCTCCTCTGTGGGGAGAGAAGCAGGCTGAGTGCAATGGTCAGGACTGTGTGTGGGGATGTGGCTGGGAATGACAGTCCTGTAGCATTTTTAAATTCCCAGAATATCTTCGCGGCCATTACCTCATTTGGCTTCCCAAGACAAGACGGCTGGGAGGTGCAGCAGAGAGGGACACCCAACAGCAGTGCCTCCCCAGTTCCTCCTGGCCGTGGGCTCCTCTGTGGGGAGAGAAGCAGGCTGAGTGCAATGGTCAGGACTGTGTGTGGGGATGTGGCTGGGAATGACAGTCCTGTAGCATTTTTAAATTCCCAGAATATCTTCGCGGCCATTACCTCATTTGGCTTCCCAAGAGTTCTGAAACTAAGCAGGATAATGGAAGGCCACGTCGCAGACCTGCTGGCCTCCTTACAGACTCCCACCTCAGACAAGCGTATCACTGCCTTTTTTGAGGACACAGGGAAGTTAGGGGACTTGACCAAGGTCGAATGGTGCTTCATTAATTCACTCATTAGAAATATTGCTGGAGCGCTGCAGAGGTGAGCCTTGAGGTCTGAGGATAGAAGGAGGCCGGGGCTATTCTGAGGGGCTTGGGGAGGCTGGGAAGAGGCTGGTGCTTGGTGTGGTCACAGGCCGGGTGGGGACACTCAGGGGGAGCATCCCAGTCCCTGTCATTAGGAGGGTTTCCTGGAGGGGATTTTATAGCTACTCTGAGGGCTGAGGAGGAGTTAGTTGCAGAGCAGAGTAGAGGTGGGTGGGTGGGAGACGCAGGCAGAGGAGCTCCAGGTGCTGGGGTGGGTGCATAGCTAAGAACACAGCCCTGATCCTGAAGACACTGGCACCAGGTCGGGTACTGTCATTTGGGTTCAGGAGCCGTGTGACAGCAAGTCTTCTGCCTTCCATGTAAAGCCTAACCTGGCCCCACCTGGTCCCAGGCCCAGTGACCACCTGGTGGCTCTAGCTGGTGCAGGGCCTTGGGCTTGCCTGTCCACAGGAGAGGGCATGGGGGGCCCACAGAATTCTCTCCTACGTAGGGACCAGTGCCTGCCCCGGGAGCGCCTCGCAGGGCCCACAGTCAGTGTGGATCCTGCAGAGTGTCCACCCACAACCTGTGGAGCTCAGCCCAGACCCCTGTGTCTTGCCAGAAGGAACTGCCGCCCCAAGACCACCAGCCTCCCTCACTCCACTGTGGGATACCTTGACTCCTGGGGAAGGGCACAGGACTCTACTGGCCACTACCCCTTTGACCTGGAGTCTTTGTCATGGAGCTCCATGGGTCCCACGGCTTCAGGAAGCCTCTCTGTTCCCCAGGACATTTCCAGGATCCCTCTAGCCTTCACTTTGAACCCTGTTGCAGGCCCCACGTCCCCAGGGGACCCTGATCCCCAGAGCAGGCCCATGACTCCACACAAGGCAAAGGCAGGCCCCTTCCTCAGCTCCACCTGCAATGCTTCACCCAGTCCCCGGATGATGGAGGACCCTGGGTCCAGTGGATCCCACTGCTCTGAGGCTTCAGGCGGCTCTCCTGGGACCGAAGAAAGCACCTTGGACTCTTCCAGCTCAGGGAACCCAACTGTGCCTCAAAGAACAATTGCTTTCCTGGCGTCTGCAGCCCCAAGCCAGGTTGCTGGCCTAGAGACAGTTGGAAGCTGGCCAGTGCCCAAAGCAGGTGCGTGGTCCTGGGGGACGGGGACCTCCTGGCAGCCCTAGTGCCTGTTCATCCCTTGGAGATACCTGACCTGGCTTCCAGGCCCAGACCAGAGGCAGGGAGTTAAGGGCGGGGTTGTGGATTGGGCCATGGTCTCTTCCCTCCCCAGCATTCTAGGCCACTCTCTAGGGGACTCCCTCTGGCCAGAGGTTCACCCTCGCATCCTCTCTGGATAGTAATTTAGAAGGGAGCCATTGCGGGGTGGGCAGATCTAGGGAGAGACGATCTATTTTGGCTGTAAGAGCAAGAGTCAGACCACCATGCTGGTTCTCCTACTTCCTGTGTGGTCCTTGGTATGTCCCTAACCTCTCTGAGCCTCATTCTTCTTCTTCTTTTTTTTTTTTTTTTGAGAGGTTTTCATTATAGGGCGCGTGCGCTCCC